TGTGGCCTACAACATATCGGGAATTATATACAGCCGTCTTGAATCATTTTCGAAAGAAATAATTGGTGAATACCAATGTGGTTTTAGACCACAAGAGGTCAAATATAGACCAAATATATATGTTAAAAGATATACAGTGCGTTAAGTTTTGGATTAGGTATACACTCTATAAATGGCAACACTGCGCGTCGTCAACTTGCACTACATATCTACTTCGTTGACTCGTCGTTGCACGTCGCCCGTCGGCGACATATTTGTCATATTGTCAATATACCGTGGTTGTTTAAAGGTATAACAGCGTAGAGTTTTAATTTATTTTTGTAAACATGTCTGTTTATATGGCCGCGGAAAAAGCTCAAATAATAAAATGGTTTTATAGTGACAATTCTGCGCAACAGTGTGTAGATTTATTTTCTGTGTTTTTTGAGGGAAGACCAATTCCTTGTGTACAGTCAATTTATAATATTGTTAAAAATGTTGAGAGTTGTTATTGCCTCAAAAATTGCAGAAAATGTCACGCTCGAGAAGTGTTACCAGAAAAAGTTGAGGAAAGAGAATACCGGGATACACAAATTTGTGCAACAATTGAGGTAGATTCAACACGTTCAAGTAGAAGCGTTGCTAAAGAGTTAGATGTTAGCAATGTTACTGTAACGAAAGTATTGAAAAAGCACGGTTACAAGAATTTTAAATATTCGAAAACGCAGCAGCTTTATCCAGACGATTACTTTCGAAGAATGGAGTTTTGTGTAACTCTAATAACGAAGGCTAATAGTGAACCAAATTTTATTAAAAACATTTTATTCACTGATGAATCTTCTGTTTCGTTAGTAGGGAGACACAATCCTTCCATTACGAGGTATTGGGCGCGGGAAAACCAGCACAGAAGTGTTGTTTACCGAACTCAACGTCCTCAAAAAGTTAACGTCTGGACTGGCATTTTAGGAGACCACATAATAGGTCCATTTTTTATTGAGGGCAACTTGAATAGTAGAGTATACCTCGATTTGTTACAGAATCATGTTCTTCCCGCTATTCTCAATCTTCCTGATGTAAATCTGGAGAATGTTTGGTTTCATCAAGACGGCTGTTCAGTTCACAACGCTCGAATTATTAGGGAGTATTTAAACAATACTTTCCCGAATCGAGTTATCAGTGGAACAGGCGATATTAAGTGGCCTGCGCGATCTCCAGATCTTACACCCATGGACTTCTTTTTTTGGGGACATTTAAAAAGTATTATCTACGCTCATCCTGAGGCTAGAGCCCAAAATTTGGATGAATTAAAAAATCGAATAAGAGAAGTCTCCAATTCTGTTACAGCAGAAACTCTTTCATCTGTTCGCAGAAGTTTTTATGACAGATTGGGGTACTGTTCAGCCGTAGAAGGTCAACTATTTGAACCATTTCTGTAGGTCATAAAGAATTATTTTTTATTTTATTACGAATAATATTTTAATTTTCAATAAGAGTATATTTTTTATTTTATCTTTTTAAAGAAATACGCTTTTATTTTTAATTCAACCACAAAAAAATTTTCACATTAATAAAAATCGATAACAATGCATCTAATCGATTAGCTCAGTGCATTTTTATCGAATTTCCTACTATTAAAATCGGCTTTACGTAATGAAACATGAAATCGGACGACAGAGAAGTACATCCCTAACGTTGTTGTGAGTTACTAAACTAAAATAAATGATTTTCTGTCGGTGTAGATCATAGAGAAATAACTTCTCTATGGTGTAGATTTTCGGGTCGGAGAACGAACATTTGCAACGTTGCCGATTTTAGCGCTCCGTATAGTGTGTAATACCTAATCAAAAACTTAACGCACTGTACATGAAAAATGTGCTGAATAAAACATACCAATTTACAACTTGTATATTGATTTCAAGCAGGCGTTTGATGGAGTAGATAGACAAAAAATGTTAAAACAACTATCCATATAAGGAATACCGGAAAAGTTAGTCATACAAATAACTTTAGTGGTTTCCAACATTGATGCGGTTTGTTCCGATCAGTTCGCTCCATGTCTACTTGCCAATATTCACTTTTTAGATCGAGTGTGGAGAACCAGAGAGAATATCCAAGCTATAGTCTATTCTGGGCAAAGGATAACTATCTTTCTTAGTTGTCGCATTGAGTTGTCTGTAGTCAATAAAAAACACTTTGAACCATCTTTCTTCTTTACTAGCACTACTGGTGATGTCCATGGACTGTTTGATGGTTTAATTACCCCTTGTTCATATCTTTGATGATGTCTTCGGCTTTATCTCTTTTCGCAAATGGAAATGATCTAGGTTGTTGTCGGATTGGCTGAGCGTCACCGGTATTAATTTTATGCGTTACTATGCTTGTTTTACCCTTAGCCTTCTTATCAATGGCAAAAACATCTTGACTCATGAAAATTCTATCAGTATAGGCTTCACTTTTTTAGTTTGTCCATTATCAAGATCTTGGCTCGTTTTATTCACCATCTCAACAAGTTCCTTTGGATACTTAGATTTCGATGATTTCTCATTAGTATTTATCGAACAAATCGAAGCCACGGGAACACACTGTCCGATCAAAGTTCTTCTACTTAACTTAACTTAATAGAAGTTCCCTTTAAATTCATAACTCTTACAGGTACGACATCTCGAACTCTCACCAAACCTTTTGCCGTTAGAAACTCGGCATTGTTCATATCTTCGACCATCCTTAAACTTTCCTCTCGACAGTGATAATCAGGTCTGGTCATCAAAATTTTCTCAGTATTACCGGGTATTGTTACGCCACAAGTAGTTAGTAAGCTGATAACATCTTTGTCTTCATGAAACGGCAACTCTTCACCACTAATCTCGAGAACTCCATTTTTGATATTCAATACAGCCCCAACTTTTCTTAGTAAATCCATCCCCAATATGAACTCGTCGAATATCTCTGCAATTATACTCTGTGTTTCACTGTAGTCTGGCCAATAGATACTGACATATTAGCCTCGCCATATGTATTAATTAGCTCACCAGTTGCTGTTCTAAGCCTTACTGTTGCAGGCGATAATTTAAAATAGCCTCGTAGTACTTCTGGACATGCAATAGTTCTTGTTGCACCTTTATGTACCAAAAACGATCTACATATATTATTGATACGACCCTCGATGTACAATCTAAGTTGCCCCTTGGTGTCGACCCCTTCTAGTTTTCCGACTGTTGTATCATTTTCTTGCAATTACGACGAATGTGACCTACGTCACCACAATTTCAACATCTGGGCTCGCGTTTCTTTGGCATCGTGTTACGAACTACTTTTCGTACCATTTCTTCCAGACGTTCATCGTTTGGTTCGTCGCTTTTTTCAATGGTTCCGATGGCTCCGTGAAGTTTGACTAGATGTTTCATGTTCCAAGGCAATAGCGAGTGCTTCATCGGTCTTTCAACCCATTGACGAAGGTATCTACAGCAATTTCTTCCAGAATGTTGTCTGGTGCCTCCGAATAAGCCATCCGCACTATACGAGCAACATCTGCTTCAAACTCTTGCAAATTTTCACTTGCTCATTGAATTCTTCTTCTTAGTTGGGCCTTGTAGACTTGTTATAGATGGGCATATCCGTATCACGCATCGGAGGTGGGCTATTTCGGTACAGTATCTTTTTTTTAGTATTTCATTTACTAATTACGAAACTCATCAAATTTTGAACTATTTATTCTTAATATATTTCTATAAGTCAGATTCAATATTCAAGTATTCAGTTTTCTCAATAAACTGTAGGAAGCACCATATTTATCGCGTTTTCCTATCCATGATTTGACGCATTTTCTTTTCTGCTTCAAGTTTTTTTTAGTTTTCGTTGTAAATCTTTCATGATTGCGTTAGTTAAAATAACTACACCCGTGCGAACTAATTCCATTGGCATTTTTACTGAAAATACGAATACGAAGACACCCTATTTACTAGCAGCAATGTTGACACAATCATATACACCAGCGAATGGCGAGTAAATTAGCCCGGCTTTCTATTTTGCTCGCAAATTTTTTACAATCGTATAGCCAGTAGCAGATAGTAAAAAAGCTTGATGACACAGGGTTACTTTACAATCAATCAATAAAACTCAGAGAAAAAACAATAAAACTCGAAGAGTCAAGCTCAAGACGCCGTTGAATACGTTTTAAGTTAAATTGGAGGTGGGCTGGACATAACGAAAGATGTGAAGATGGAACAAGGAGATTTAACGATAGTAAATATCACATAGGTAGCTCAAAAATATTATGAGGTCGATCGCTAATAAGATTTATCAATGATATTAAGTACCTAAACTGCATTTTCAATGAACAAGAGAAATAAAAAAGACAGAGGGAAAATGGAGGCCAATAGTGGAAGCATATATTTATAAAATGGATAGATAATGCACTAAATATAGGTCGTTAAAATTATAAATTACCCAATTATTTATACCTAACATAATTTTTCGAATAAACAATTGATTACATAGTTTACATGAAAAAAATTATTGTTGATATTATTATGTATCATGTATTTTTTTATTGAAAATACTGATTTTCATTTGTTTTAATATTTAAGAAGTTTTAATATCTTAGTTCACAATTTAAAAAAATATTTGATCAGCTTTAAAACTTTATGTACCGCATTTTGGTCAAGTAGACACTTCTTTTTTGCGCCATCTATCCATCGGTATTTAAGGTTATACAAAAACAACCTGAAATTAGGCCGAAGTATGAAACAGAAAATTAGAGGAAAACAGATTTTCCGGGAAGCTTTTGAAGTGAAAATCCAGAAGGAGGAGCCTCGAGCTTCGCAGGTTTTCAGAGGTCGTGTTGGGTCGAGCAAATCGAGATCATACGATGGTGTGCGATAGCTGTCATTTATATTGTATTTTATAGACTCGTTTTTAACAAATTGCATCTCCCTATGTAGGTTTTAAAGTGAATAGTTGTGTGGTGTGGTGGTTAAAAAAGTTCCTCGAAGGAGAGGTATTGAAAGCTCGTGTTGTGTGCCATGTTCACGGGGACTATTCGTATAAAAGTATGCGAGGCCCAGAGCCTGAGACCGACGGACTGCTCGATGCGTTATACTTTCGGGAAACCCGATGAACAACTTCTGGACCCTTATGTTACGATTGCCGTGGATGACATCCATGTGGCTCAATCCACATCTAAACAGAAAACTTGTGATCCCGTTTGGAATGAGTACTTTGAGCACCAGGTTGAGAACGCTAAGACGCTGACCCTGACGGTGTTCCATGACGCTGCGATTCCACCTGACGTCTTCGTCGCGAACGTCTCAATTCTTTTTGAAGATCTGCTAAATAGGGAAAGAGATGAATCTGATTTTTGGGTGTGTTTTATTTTAAATATTTTATTTTCATACTTGTCACCTACACCTGTCACTTTTTGCTTAATGACAACATAAATAAAAAATTACCCCCAAAAGCTTTACTACCTAGTTCATAATACATTCATCATAATATTTGAATTTTGTGTACTTTAAACAAGTTACTACAATCATTTTGATATCTTACATTCACTTTCAATCATCAGTAGTAATTTCTTCCAATTCTTTATTAGGTCAATTCTTTTTATTTTGTAACCCCTTATTCATTCATGTCATCATTTCTCAAAGTTATTTTGCTACTATTTTACCATTGAAACTTTTTGTATTATCTTTAAAACCATTTAATATTGTGTGGCTAATTTATATGCAATAATGTAAAAATAATAATAGATGGTATAAAAATATAAATATTTACAAAACATTATATCACTTAAACTGTTGATTATATTTTATCTTTTGAGTACTTTTTAGACAAGTGCACTCTCATTGCTATTTTAAAGATGTAACATAATAAAAGTAACACTTCCATATTTTTACATTAAGGGCCAATTAAGTAATAACATGTATTAATTAATTAAAAACATGAAAATGCATTTAAAAACATTAAAAAGGAATTTTTAAAGTCACAAAATAACAACTTTTGAGCAAGATTTACTTCTTTTAAAAAGTAAAAAGTATTTCTAAAACAAAAGGTAGCAAATATAAACTAGGTATGATGAAAACAATACTATCATTCAAATGTTTTTGTTTATACACTTACAAAAGGTTGGTCAGAAAAATTATGAGTTTTTAAAATTATGTTACGGAAAGTCTTTCCTCGTCCAATGTTATTTGATTGAAAACAGTGTTTTGTGATTTTCTAGCATTATATGTTCATGTTTTCTTGTGGCCAATCTATGTTTGCTATTGCATCTTGAGTATTGTTTTCTTCTGTTTATTGTAAAACTAAGTTTATTCAGCAAATAACTAACATAATGTGGAGATCAGATTAAAGAATTTAATCTAAATTTGAAACTAAGTAAGGAATATTTTCATTCACAGTACTTAAAAATCTGCTGTAGAATTATGAGCTTAACTTAGAAACATATTTAAGGATTTCAGCCTGATTATTATTCCAATTATAAGATGTGGGAAGAATGCTTAAAATATTATCACTAGCTGTAATTGTAAATACACAATACAAAATTTTAACAACTCCTTTTATTAAAGTAGTAGAAAATATCTAAAAAGCAAATGTAAACTACAATGAAAACAAATCCATATTCTAAATGTTGTTTTTATACATTCTTATGATAAGAAATATTTAGATTTTACACAGAAGTCCTTTCTCTTCCATCTATCCCAGGCCTCTACAGCCACTTCCTCATCAAATTTCTCCATTAGTTACAGTCTAAAGCCATTCTCCTCCATGATCGACTTTGATGTTCTCATCTACATCATCCCCCCATTGCTTTCTCTGTCTTCCAATAGGTCTTGTCACCTGCATTTTTGCATTCAACAGTTTTTTTAGAAGCCTGTTTTCTTCCACCCTAAATACAGGGCCTGTCCACTGAAGACATATATTTCATAATTGTATTTGATTTGTCACCTATTGTTCTCATTTATAGGGCCTAGTATTTGTCTTGGTACCTTTTTTTCAAAGATGTCTATGAGGTTTACAGATTTTTGATTCAACACCCAAGTTTCACATCCATAGTTCACTATGTGTTGATACCTTTCCCATCCTACATTTTGTTTTATTGCAAATAGTTATATATGTGTTCTTGTGGATAATGTCTGTTCATATCTGTTTCATTCTTTAAAATTAAAATATAAAATATTTCACACTATCTTCTATATTCTTTCTAGTGTTTTCTCAAAATTGACTTTTTTTAAATTTACAAGGCATAATGGGCATTGCTTTCTTCCAAAAATTGTAGAATTTGGTTTACGAAGCAAGAAACTGATAGTATATGATAGATCAGAGTAAAGAAATTGATTCAAAATTAAAATTACAAGTACTTCCATAGTACTCAACAATCTCTTGTTAAATCATTACATTAACTGACAAATAATGCACAAATGCAACAAGTCTTGCCTATAGTATTATAAGACATGGAAACTTAAAACAATGAATCAGCATATAAGTACTTATGAAAGAAATAAATTCTTTTAAATGTAGGAAATATAATCCTTTAATTCAGATACATTATAAATATTAAACATATAGGTAACACAATGAGAGAAGTAGTCATTATTGAAAAATTTGAAAAGTAATGCTATATAACATACTTCTGTCACATGAAGATGTTTAGAAAAATAGTTAACATCATTATCATCATCAATTAGCCTATATTTGTCCACTGCTGAATGTAGGCCCCCCTTAAAAATTTCCACCTATTTCTATCTTGAGCTTCTTGCATCCAGTTTGTGGTGATGCACTTGATATCATCCATCCATCTAGTCAGTGGTCGTCCTCTGCTTCGATATGCCTTACCTTGGTCGCCATTCCAGAATCTTTCTGGTCCATCTATCATCCGTTAATCTGGCTAAGTTGTTAAACTTTTGTTACAAAATGTCCTTCATTAATCCATGTTTATGATGTTTAATTCATCTAAATTGTTCCACACCTTGTGTCTTGTTATATTTGGAAAAGTTTTGTCTCTATTAATGTCTGCTAAAAGTTAAATACACTATTTCTTCAAATTGTTTGTTTTACAATATCATCTATTTGCTGGGGTTTTCTTCCTTGGACAATACTGTTTTGTTTTCATTGTTTCAGAAGTATATAAATTGTTACTGCTTCAACTCCGGTTATGGTTGAGCATTTATAAACTATACTGTTATCAGTGCAAGGGCGTAATGTACATTTTACATTACAGTATTCAAATGCACTGTTAAATAACATATTACTTCACAGGGGTAAAATTAGGTTAAAATAAAAAAACACATTTTATTGCATGAGTTCACTTAATTTGCCTTTTGTTGTTATTATTACAAGACTAACAATTCTGAGACGAACACACAAATATTTACTTGTATAAATTTGTAGTGACAGGAATAAATTAAATTATGTAAAGAAAAATTGAATAACGAATAAAAAAACGGGTATGGCTGCCGGTAGAAGTTATACTTCTATTCACGCGTTCTTCGTTAAAAATTTATATGGTAGTCAATCTGCACAATCATTACATATGTAATGCTATAGGTGTAAGAGAGAGCAGAAAGAGAAAAAGAATTAGTTATATAGGTATATGGTGCTGTATATAAACATTTAAGCTCTAATAGGAGTATAGTAAATGAAGGATTGTATAAATATTTTAATCAAAATATATATTTTTTTATTTTTATATATGTTTAAAAGGAGTTGAATGCAAAAAAAAAATTTAGACATACTTTGTAGTAAAATTCATTGTTTATTTTGTTATTAATATAAAAATTACAATACAATAAATAAACTGCAATATAATTCAATATAATAATACAATATAAATTAAAATGTAATATTCATAAGTATTTAAAAATACCAATATACATAACTTAATTTACGAAGATAAAAATAAAAAACCAACAACTCGGATTATGTTGTAAATTTTCATTTTATTTTAAAATTTAGCATTTTTGCGTATATTACATATATTTAATAATATTAACGTGAGGTTTTCAATTATTTAAAAAACAAAAAAGGGAATTCACAATTGGGATTCGAACTCACAACCACCAGTGTATGAGCCAAACACGTAAAAGATTTGACAATTAGACATGATACTAACAGATTTCAAAATTGACAGTTCTCGGTCAAACAGTGATTATTTTGAAATACAAAAGTATAAAATAATTAAAATAATTATAAACATTTAATAAATAATACAAAACATATCACATAAATAATAATATTAATACATATTTAATATATAATATATATAATATATTATATATATATATATATATATATATATATATATATATATATATCCATCCATCCAATGGCACTACAGCCCAAGCCGGGCCTTGGCCTCCTTCATTAAACCTCTCCAAACATCTCTATTTACTGCTGTTCTTTTCCATGAACGCGTTTTTATAGCAACTGTTTTTATAGCATTTATATATTGAGCAACCAATATTTTTCGCAATTTTGTGAAACAATTATTCATATTAATAATTATATTAATATGTAATTAATATTATTAGTATTTTTAATTAAACGTATCGTTTTAAGAACGAAATTCGATTTACTCAGTAGATTGAAATGTTAGTTGGTAGCTCAGATTTCTTTCCTAGGTGGCGTAGTTACCCTACTGGACAAACAGTGTGACTTGTCTTCCTAGCCTTTTATATAGATAGATATGAAAATAATCAATTATTTCATTAAAAAAAAACCTAAAATTATACCAGTTCAATAGGAAAAATGTATATCAACCAGCTAGATAGACACTACTCAGTATAACTGTTTTTGTTATAAGTTTTGTCATTATTTTATCTTCTCTAATTAATTTTGGACAAACAAAAAGAATTATGTTGAGTAGCTTGTTATATTTTTCTTTTTATCAATTTTAACGCTTTAACTATTTTTTTCAGGTTGATTTAGAACCCAAAGGCCGACTACACATTAGAATAGATCTTAGGAGGACATCGAAAGGTGAGCAATCATGTTTAGATTAAGTTCGTATAACATATTATAATCAATAAATGAGTGAATTAGTTTGAATGCTTGTATTTAGAGCTGAATTTACCAGTTTTATATGTGTTAGTAACTTAAGACTTTTCTATTGATTTGTTTCATTGTATTATGATCTTCCCGACTTCTTCTTTACGGGCCATATCAGAATTATCTGGTGTTGGCGATCACCATTTGATATCTGAGTCCATTCACAAATGTTTTTTTAAACCTGTATTGCCTTTAAGGATCAGTTGTAGTATTCTATATCGATTTTCCCCCACTAATCGATCTCGTTTTTCGTCGTTTTATCTGGAGATATCCACGTCCATTTTCGGTTTGCTGATTTCTTAAAGTGTGTGTGAAAGGCATATAAATTTTGTTATTCTAAGTTTTATAATTTTTCTCTTCATTTCGTGTGTCGTAACCATGCATCCCTATTTTGGTTTCAGTACTTTCTTCTTTTTTACCTAATTTTGCGTTGAAATCCCCCCATTTCAACTACCTCTTCCTGATGTGTTGTTGTGGGAGCATACACTTGTGTAATCTTGGTTTTATTATCTAGGTCTATTATAATATAAGCTACTCTATCAGAAACGCTTTTATATGTAGAAATGTATGGTGTGAGATACTTTTTGACAAGAAATCCTACTCCACCACATGTTTCGTTTATTTTCCCTGTATAGTATAAGCGATTTCCAGAGTTTAGATGCATGCATTGTTCGCCACTTCTTTTCACTTCTAACAGTCGTACAATATCCCTCTTTATCTTGGATAGTTCTTCTAATTCATAGACCTTTTCATCTTTAGCCATAGATTGCATGTTGTATGTGGCTAGTAGTAACTGTTTTTGTTTGTTCGTATCTATTTTGGCGCGTTTTGTTGAGCTTATGCCTCCCCCAGATTCCATGAATCTGATCGTTTTTCCAGTGTTGTGTTCAACATGTTGTATTTTGAGGGGTATATTGGCATTAAAACACCACGCTTGCCGGACGGGTTGGTGAGTGTTCGCAGTATCACAGCCGGTTAAATCAGTATTTGATTTTCGCCTGCGACTTTGTGGTACCGCACCTGTCAGGAATTGTATTCCTTAGCCACGGGCCACTAATGACACAGCTGCTGACCTGTGTCATGTCCTCTGTTGATCCGCGGGTACTTATTTGGCGAAGCCCTCTTCATACTTGTCCTGCATATCTACAGGAACGCTCACTATCAACCATTGGGACGCGCCGTGTCGAGGTTGAGGACTTCCCCGCCCAGCCTGTCTTGCACAAAGTACTGAAGGACCCCTACTCAGTTCAGCGTTCCTCCTATACACAAGCTAAGACCGGCACAGTTTTATGTAGTTATCGAGTATTCTTTGTTAATTTCTTGTTGCTGTTCTTTACATTTGACGATTTTAATACTTTCTTTATAGTCAAATTAGAAAATAACAGTATTTCGATCCACCAAAACCTTAATTGTATTTTTGTGTATATACTAATTCACATTAATATTTGTTTTCCAGAATATGGAGGAAAACCAAGGGAGTTCAAAGAACGCCAAGGCTTCAACAGAAGACGAGGCGCGATGCGAAGAAGAGTCCATCAAGTTAACGGTCATAAGTTTATGGCCACATTTTTGCGACAACCCACATTCTGTTCACATTGTCGAGATTTTATATGGTGAGTTTTATGCACATTTATACATCAATTATTTTTAAGTAACTATTGAATAATGAAATAAATATAGTAAGTACTGTTGGAAAACGCTTTTTGGGATGCATTTTTAAATGGAATTTAGATTTAAGAGAGAAAACCATGGATTATTTATACGTCCATGGAGAAAACCGAATATTGTAATATGTACTCGATTCCTCTTATATACTAATAACTGTCAAAATAGTTATGTTTTTAATAAAAAGACTAGGGCAGTACTTACCCAAGGTACCCAGGTCGTTCGAATATAGTAATCGACTCTTTCTTAAGGCAATGAACCTGACTTTACTTAGTAACAAGACGTTTACTCAACACACACACACACTGCGCAAAAATGATTATTCCTCTAATAACCTTAATCATTACTCGAGTTTGTTAAATGTTACAATTGCTTATATCCTGGTATCATTCTTCAAAGTTTTTTTTGAGGTAGGGGAGAAGAGAGAGACTTGATCCCACCGTTACATTTTTTCAGGTAACTTTTTTTATAACCGATCTAGAACCTTGATAATTTACTGAAATATTACAAATGTATCAAAGTTTTGGGTGTTATACACCCGAACAATATACTGCTAATAAATAACGAGTTTTTGTAGAATCTAGTAATAGAGAAAAACTAATCATGTCTCCCCGTACCTCGAGAGACTTGATCCTTGTGTATGGGTGACTTGATTATATCTTCCCAGATTTGCAATATTAAAATAAAACCAAAAATTTAATGCTGAAAACTAACTTTACTCAGTCATGACATAACAAATAATATTTTCTGGCAGAAAATTATATTCAAAAAGTTATAAAAGTGAAAAAAAAATTATTGTTGAATATTGAACATTCTTAGTGATTTAGGAAAGACAAAACATCCTATGCGCTTACTTCTTCTTCTTAGAGTGCCATATACCTACGGAACGTCGGCGACTACCATGCTTATAATATTATTATACTGATCTCGGTCTTGCGCTACGTGTAGCAATTGATCCGCTGTCAAACCTGTCCACTGCCGCAAATTCCTCAACCAAGAGAGTTTCTTCCGTTCTATCCATTTCTTTCCTTCGATTTTACCGTTGAGAATTAGCCGAAGGAACTCATATCTTTGTCCTCTGATTATATGTCCAAGATATTCTAGTTTACGCCTCTTAATAATATTTAATAGAGGTCGTTGATGTCCCATTCTTCGAAGAACTTCTTCGTTTCTGGTTCTGCTAGTCCATGGAATTTTTAGTAACCTTCGATACAACCACATCTCAAACGCCTCGATTTTATTCATGATATCGGCGTTTTAAAGTCCAAGTTTCACATCCATACAAAAGTACAGACCACACGTAACATCTTGTAAACTGTTCACGGATTTCCAAATTTAATGAGTTATTGGATAATAGAGGCTTGAATTTTTGAAATGAGTTTCTTGCCTGTTCAATTCTACATCGAATTTCGAAGGATGGATCTAGATTTTGGGTAATCCAACATCCAAGGTATTTGAATCTCTGAACTCTTTGCAGCGGTTGTTGGTTTAATATCAGTTGGGTTGCGCCGATATCCACTTTACTGGTCACCATGTATTTAGTTTTATCGATATTTATCGACAGTCCCCAATTTGTGCATTCCATGTCAACTCTATTGATTAGCTCCTGCAGATCGTCGATGTTTTCAGCTAGAATCACAGTATCGTCGGCGTACCGTATATTGTTAATTATTTCTCCTCCTATGATAATTCAGAGGGTGGGAGATAGTATACAGCCTTGTCTTACGCCTCGTTCAATACTGATTGGCTTTGATTCTCTGTTGTTGGTATTAATAATTTCTGTTTGGTTCCAGTAAAGTTTGGCAATAAGTTTGATGTCTTTCTCATCTAGTTGGATGCTCTGCAAGGCGGTAATTAGTCTGGTATGCTGAACGCGATCAAATGCCTTTTCAAAATCAATGTAGCACATATATACGGGTTTTCTTACCTCCCAACATCTTTGAAGGGGTGTTTGCATAGAAAATAGTGCTTCTCTAGTTCCAAGGCATCTCCGGAACCCGAACTGCTCTTGATTAATTATTTCTTCGCACTTGTTGTTAATTCGGTTTAGAAGAATATACAACAGTATTTTAACGGCATGGCTCATTAAACTAATGAGTCTACAATCGCTACATTTCTTAACGTTTGGTTTCTTAGGTAGAGAAATAAAGATCGATTTTAACCAGTCCGATGGAATTTCACTGGTATCATATATTATATTTGATTGAAAAGTACAGTGAGTTCTTTTATATTGTCATTTGAGAGTAATTTTAGCCATTCGCTGTATATTTGATCTGGTCCACTGGCTTTGTAGCTCCTAAAAGTCGGGCTTGGTACCTTTTTTTAAAATTTGGTCACGTGCGACTTCACCCATGTCTTCTTTTTCCGGTCACTCGTTCTTTCTTCCCGTTATCTGTCTGTCTGTCGTAAAGATAAAATTCGGAGATTTCTGGGCTACTAAAAGTGGCAGAAGTGAAAGGCTGGTTATTGTTCTCCATTAATGTTTGTTGTAGCTGATCATTTTGTCAAGTATCTCCATTTACAGGATGTGATCTAATTATTCGAGGTGTGGTAAAAGTACCAGTAGCTGTAGAAGTTTTTGTCCTCTATTACTGTTCGTCAGCGGTCATCCATCCACTTTCATAAACTACGCTATGATGGTGGACTATTATCAATCATGCGATCATGCCAAAGTTTTCGAGGGAAAACTTTGGCATGATCGCATGATCATAAAAGGCGGTATATGGTTTCCAATTGCATGGATTGTACAACAAACAGTTACTGTTGCTCCACGTTCCCCTGACGTAATTTTACCAACGTGCTTTTCACCTTTGCATGCAATGATCTTCTTTGGCTTATGGACAGTGGAAAGTCCAGCTTCGTCCACGCTCCAAATTGCTTCTGGTCCAATTCCATGGTTTTCAAGAACTCTCTTTAAATTTCCGAAAAAATTTGTTACATTATTTCTGTTGAAACTAGTTGCTCTAGAAAGACTAATTGCTTCCGAAGAGCGTAGTGATAAGGTCTTCATTCTCTTCAGAAATCCATGTAACCAGTCGTAACTGGCTTGCTTATGTTTATTCCACGAAGCAGGTATTTTTTTACTATTTCTTACGGCAAACTCGTACGTCAGTTCTTTTGTTTGTTTTCTTGTAAGGCCATGGTGTGATTTGCTGGCAACGTCTAAATAATTTTTAAACATATTCTCCACTGCATTTGTAAATATTTGTGCCTTCTTGTAATCAGGAGAGAAGGATATTTCAACATTTTCGGATCGTTGTCTGCGAATGTATCTTTTTAATGTTATAATATTTATTTGAAAACGACTTGCCGTTCCATTGAGATACGTACCGTTATTAATAACGTCTCAAACAGTTTCTTTTAACCTTTGGCTGTCGACTGGTGCTCTTTTCTTGGCTCCTTCCCTTCTTTTTTATTGACGTGGCATATCTATAAAATAAAAAACATTCATCTATAAGGAGTTTCTGGGAGACTTGATCCCGGGATCAGATCTCCCAGATAAGAAGCAGTCAAGTCTCCCCAAGAAGCCATTTTAATATTTTAGTCTATAAAAATATGACAACAAACTAGAACTCACTGCAAACTATGCAAAACGTAAACTAAATGATTACGGTGTTAAATAAAAATTATACGAAACACGCACCTAAACAAATAGTAAAGAAAATCAACTAGGCTGCTTATTTACTGAAATTTTAAAGAGTGATCAAGTCTCCCATATGGTCAAGTCTCCCTGTTCTCCCCTATATTTTTCCTACTTTTGGATAGTTCAGGTTAAAATAGTTCACGTCTTCTGATTTCTCGCAATCTATATATTGCACTCCTGAGGTCATATTCTAAAAGTCTTTTTATCACTATATACATCTTTAAATAGCAAAAAATAGTGATTCCAGCAAAAAAATAAACTCCTGTAGAAACTGTCCATTATGGTCAGCTTTTCGACAGATCACGCCTGGACTACTATACTAACTAATATAATTAGTACGTCTTAATGATAAGATGGCAAAAATCAATTCAAATCATACAGTTAAATTATTGAGGAATGGATTTGATTTCTAAATATTTTCCATATTTTTGAATATCTTCAACGTTTGAACTAGTAAGTACTTTAAATTCTAAATTAAAAGCGCATTTTCTATTTAGTCCAGACCTGGAACCTAGTGGCTTTTTATTATTTCCACGTGTCAAGGATAAGGTTTTCGTTTTATCTGGTCTGAAAGAGGAATGTAAGCGGAATGGTATGGTATTAAACACTTTAAATATTGGTATATACTAATGCAAAACGAACTAAGTGGAAAGTGGATTACATGTTTATTACAGTCTATAAGTAAATTGGATATTGCTAAAAATTAAATGAATGAAAGCAGTTATTTTTCTACAAAAACATCACAAATAGTATGTTGTTTCTTACTGCAGATATATTCTGAAAACCGGATATCAGAAACAGTTATAGAGATTCTTGACGGTTTGCCAAATCATTATTGTTTATTTTTGTGGATGGTCACCCTGTATATCGTGATCGTGAGTAATATTTTTCTGTATCATAAGTTTTTGTTATTTGTATTTTATATTACAATTCCAACAAATCGAAGATGAAATGCATGTATAATGAATAATGATGTATAAACTTTTCGGCAATATCTAAAAATAGGGTCCTATACCGCTAGTGGTTTGAAGCAGTGTAAAGTGATCAATAGGCCAGTCTTTTAAATTTAGTAGACACATCAAAATAAACTGACAACGTATCATTGTCAAATGTAAGAGGGAATTTACACGTAGATAGGAATATTTAAACAGACAATAGTTCCTTGATTTAAGCCGATACACTAAAGTAATAAATACCAGAAATAATTCGTAAGAAAAAAACAATGATCATTTCACAGATAAATAAAATGATGCTTTAATAGTCCCATCGAACTTACGGGAGTCCCATTACAGTAGACTCCCGTAA